TTCCTCATGGATAAGGATGCGATAAATGACATCTGCCGACTACGATTGAATAAGAAGTCTCCGAACTACAGTAATTTGAATAGGATAGTAGCACAGGTGCGTTGGTGATCGATTTCCACTTGCAATAAAATAAATGGTGACCAGTCTTCAAGATCAGATCCCGCGGTGACATGATCATGATGACATGATCTCATAGTGCTCGCTGGGAGAAGTCCGAATTCCGGAGCTTCTGATAAAGGGCGTCATTGGTTCTTTCGGTTGAAAGGAAGTTCCAAAACCCAATGTCTAAGATGAGAGCTGATTTTTAGCGTTCGTTGAGGGGCGGGATTGGAGAGAGCGGGAGGGGATAAGGGTAGCTGTTAATTGGGATATGATCTGTCCATAGTGCTCCCGAAGGTTCTTTTCACAGAAATCCGACTGTCTAAGAGCGTGGTAATCAGCTGATATCCCAAATACTGAAAGAACGAACATTCGTGGATCTTGTCACCACCTCATGCCGTTACAGCAACTCCACGGGACCTTCGCAGATACCCTTCTGCAGTCTTTGGGTATTGCTGAAATTGTAGTTCGTCAACAAAATACCAGAAGTATGACATGTACCCGCTTACTGGACAACCGTAAAGATACCATTTTGTAATGGAGAGGCAGTTTGAGGCAAAAGGCACATACCATAATGCGTGCTTTCAGGTAGTATCATCTATAACGGCCTCAATACGCTTCAGCGGTGAACTAAATGTGGATCTCAGCGAATTTTCTACGAATCTCGTTCCATTTCCACGGATACACTTCCCTCTGGTGGCTTCAAGTCCTCTACTAGCAGAGGAGAAAGTGAGAAACTTCTAGTGAACTCGAAGTCTTTTGTCACTATAGACGTCTTTCAGGCACATCGTGAGGCTTTGACCGTCAGGGATATCACAGCCATGTGCCTGGAGCCTTCCAGCCAAATGGTGAAGTGTGATCTACGCGGAGGCAAAAATATGGCTGTTTGTTTGCTATACAGGTACTTCCAGACTTACTCTCCATTTCGGAAAACGAGAAGAGACCACACACCACAATTTCCTGCCAAGAAAAAGAAAGAAGAAAAAGCCACGTTTTTTTGTCGTCACTTGTGATGTGTGGTCTGCACTCGACACTTTTCTCATTTTCGAAATAGTATGTGGCTCCCTCGAAGCACAGGGACGTGTTCCTACAGAGCGGGACGTTCATTGCTCTGAGTTTCATATGTACGTGATTGCTCTGAGTTCATTATGGAATATTCAAAATGTTTTAAATTTTCAATGGCTCTATACATTTCCTGGTTTCTCAATATAGGATCTTTGATACAAGGGCGGAAGTGGTGTAGTGACAAGTGGCGCGCTTACCACGCGAGCGGTCCGGGGATCAAATCCTGGGTCGTGAGTCGCCCGGGCCAACCAAGCCTTCCATCCCTCCGGGTCGGTTAATTGGTACCAGACTTGTCTGGGAGGATAAAAACACTGACTTGTACATCGGCTGGCCCCCGCAAGTCATTGTATAGGCCACATCGCATTCAAAATGCCACTACGAATGTACAAATGGAAGTAGAATGCGTGCCGCATCCCAAAAAGGGATTGATCAACGGCAAATGCTTTATCCTTATTTTTATAAACAATCGAATAAAATTGAAAAAGAAATGCGAGCAGCTGAAGCAGTTCCTCTCCTCTGCCGCAGGCGATTTCGAAATATGAGCAAAAGCTAATAAAACGCGAATCTTTCCTGGATCGCTCCCACCGGATAGCTCTGCCAATATCTTTTCATATAGAGGTTCAACGACCACAAAGCGCAGAGGCCGCGCGAAGGTAGTATGGGGACTTTAATCAGTTCGCCCACAGATACAGTTCTCTGAATGAGTTAATAATCCCCATTCCCCGATTCAAACTAGATGAACTACTTATGGGCGGAGCGCTAGTGGCAGTTGAAGTTTTTACCACAAGCACGTTCGCGAATCACATCCCGGGTCGCAAGCGATGAGCAAACCAGTCGTCAATTCAACTCAGTATTGCTAATTCGCCTGGATATAAAACACAAACTGTCAGCGGGTCCTCGCAAGTGATCTAAGGGTGCACAAAACTCACATTCCTCAAACGATCGCGAATGGAAGTAGAAAGCGTGGCGCATCCTCAAAAGGGACTAAACAACGCGGAATACTTTTGCTCCTCACCTCAATACATAACTGTTCGTAAAGTGCAGAAAACTTTGTAATCACTGAATTCCAGAGGCGACGTCGTACCGAAAGATGTCAATCAAGCTATTGAGTATATTAAAATGAAGCAAGTGCTCGAATTCGTCAGCTGGTGCCCTACCGGTTTCAAGGCTAGACCATACTTAACTGCTCTCAATTTCAATTGAAGATTGAACACTTATTGCAGGTGGGAATCAACCAGAAACCGCCAACTTCTGTACCAGAAAGTGGATTGGCAAGAGTTCCTCGAGCCGCTTGCATGCTGTCGAATAATACAGTAATCGTCGACGCTTGGGCTCGCCTCAATCACAAATTTGATCTTATGTATGCAAAGAGAGCATTTGTTCATTGGTGAGTGCCTACAATAAAATCAAGCCCAGCGACGCGTGAACTGACACAGACCGCCCACATTGATTACGGCGCCTATGATCAATATTCAACCCGCCTATATGATCTGCAAAGCATGGCTAAAAACTTTTCTAGGTATCTTGGCGAAGGAATGGAAGAAGGAGAGTTTTATGAGGCTCGTGAAGATGGCGTGCTTAGAAAAGGACTATGGAGAGGTACTAATCGTCATCGGCATTACCGTATCTCGCTCTCGAGCTTCTTCATGTGCATATTGCAGATATCGAATGAAACGATTACTGAAGACCAAGATGATGAGTATTGAAAAACGATGATGTCTTATGAAAAGAATGCTTTCCACTAACGAAAAATCTTAGATTTACTTCTATTTTCGCTCACGATCTCGGATGCGATCTTACCAACACCTATAAAGCGTTCCGATCATTACGTCGGATCCTCTGAGCATGGAACATTTTCTTATACTATAGGGTCGAAAATATTCAAAAGAGCTTTCGACATTAATCAAGTTCCGCTTCGGAATACGCCAGCATTCTACACCCATTCCGAATAAAATGAATTTGACAGTTACAGCGCTATAAAATGGCCTTAAGTGCAGCCGACGGATGAATAAGTTTTTATCGTCTCAGACAAGTCTGGCACCAGTCAACCGGCTCAAAGGAATGAAAGGCCAAACTGGATTGGACGACATAGCGGCCCATAATCCCGATCTTGTCCTTAGAAGTGAAAGTGGCGTGCTTGGCCACTACTATTCACCTCGCCCGAGAAATGCCAAAAACTGCACAAAAGGCAACCTAGGCGATGTTCTGGTCATTTATCCTCGGGAATCGATCCGAGATAGTATGTTTTGTGGAACTTTAGGGCGACAACACCGCTCCGAGACCACATACAGATCGCAAGGTATTGCCAACGATTTCAACCAAGTATAAAAAGCAGTGACTAATTGAACGCTAGACATAAAAAAATTTATCCATCTGCTGAATGACTGAAGGCTAAGGAGGCAGCGCATTACCTGAAGGTGATATCTCAGTGCCGGATTAAGAAAAAATTTGAGAAAAACCAGACCAGTGGGACTTCTCCTCATCTTTCCGCACTGATGCCGCTCTCATCGGTGCTACCTCCCTTCAACGCTCTCTGCTAAACGGCTCAAGACCTGCGGCCGAGCGGTTATTTGGTCTGTGGGCATGCCGTCGCCGATACGTGCCTGCTCGGTCAGCGACAGCTCATCGCGAATAACATATCCTCCTGCGATCTGCGTGACGTCCAGCTACCCACTTGTCTGCGTTGGGTAAATTCGCGTCTTCGACCCAACTTCATCGTGAAGTCTCCTTAATGAAGCGATCTAGGAATATTAAAGCACCTGCTATCTCCGGAAAAAGCTAACTAGGATCCGTGAGCAATCAAGTGCATGACATAAAGAGTCGATGTCGCAGCTTCAGTTCATCGCAAAAAATAACCTTTCATCCTAAATTCACTTCCCGTCCTCCTCGAGATAAGCTTTTTCTATTTCACGCTGTGAGCTATACTCATAGTGAAGGTCACTTCTGAAAAAAGTCCATATACCAATAATTTCGCTACACCTAGTGCATCGCAGATGAACAGAACCATAAAACTTTCATCATAAAAACTCTTAACAACATCCTAACCGAACAATCTATAACGAATCTGCAGAGCACAATCTATGGCGCTGCGGTCATCAAGCGACGACACTGCGCAGCTATCGAAAGGCACAAAAATATGGCCTCATTGAATTGGCACACACAATACTATCCTTTGACAGCGATATTACTTTTTTGGTTCGAGGTCACTCATGAAGTCGTACGGTAGGCACTGCAACACTTCGGATAATGAAAAAGAAAAAGGCAGTTTCAGTGAAACGCACTACCTCCATTGCGTAGTTTTGAAACGCATCCATAAGTAGAGACGGTTCAAGCGACACATTTGAATCGTATCCACTTAGCAGAGAGTCGTCCTCAATTTCTATCTCGCTCCAGATTCACTTCTGACAATTCCAACTCTTCCTGAGTGATACTCGAAATACTGCATTTGTTATGTTTATAATTTACAAATTGCACTTATATATTCAAAGTTCTGTCACGTTTACAGCAGCGGCGTGAAGGAGTATTTTTGATCAAGGTTTCTCCTCAGCTTCACTCCCTGACAAGGGAAGGATACCAGGTCGAAGTGGCCATTTGTAACGAGACATACACCACTAGATGTGTTTTTGGACGCTGATCTCGAATCTGCTCTCCAAATCTGCGGAACGATTCTCTGAACGTAGTTATGAAGCGAGATAGTGCAGTGGCAGCGGCCCGGGCCGACGAACAATAGGTCGTGAGATCGACTTCTTGGCGAAGTTCACATTTGCTTTCTTGAAACATTGTTTAAGGATCTTTCATCCATGACAGTCACCACGATTGCTGAACATCAAGTGGAAAAGACTGACGAAGGCGATTTGACCACGTGTGCGTCATTGAAAATGATCTTCTCCTGCACCCTAGCGCATGCGGTATTGCACTTCTTCTCAAATAAATTGATTTGTGGTTCAGCATTAAGCTGACCCTTTCGCGACACTTGATCATATCCAAAATTTTGACCTAAATCGAAAATGTGTGTACCCCCGCCCGACAGTCACGTGCAAATGACCGCGGGTATTTTTACGGAGCTCTTGCCTATTTCCAGCTAGCTTGTATAGAATAGGCAGTCGTTAATGTTTTTAGGCATGTTAAGAGTTCTTTGAACAATGTTTTCAAGAAAACAGCTGAAAACTCGCTAGAAGTCGATCTCACGACCTTGCTCGTCGGCCCGGGCCGCTGCCACTGCACTATCTCGCTTCATAACTACGTTCAGAGAATCGTTTCGCAGATTTGGAGAACAGATTCGAGATCAGCGTCCAAAAACACATCTAGTGGTGTATGTCTCGTTACAAATGGCCACTTCGACCTGGTATCCTTCCCTTGCGCTAGGAAATATGTGAGAAAGTCCCTCCCACAATGGACGATGTACTGGCGCACTGTCAACACCGCTACCCTGCTCGAACTTGCCATTAGGTGACCATAAGAATTTTCGATTCGAAAAAGAAGGGAACAAAAGATATAAGTCTATTGAATAATCGAGGCAGATGTATACAACATGCACATAATTCTCATTTGAAGGAGGGACCATGATTAGAATGGAGTTACGTGAATGTGTACTTTCTGAATGTTCCTAATAAAGAAAATAGTGGTTGGAATGGTTGAACCGCTCCTTCCTTTTCCGAAATATTCCATGTTAAACACTTTTCTGGATGAACATAGCACTCTGTGATTAAAGCATAAACCGATTACATTATGCAAAACATTTTAATAATAATCATAAAATACATGATTATCATTTTCGCGCAACGTGCTGACAAAGTCCTTCGTCTGTCATCGAACCGAAACCGGCCATTATTGCCAAGAATTTCTAAAACGTATAAAAGGTTAAATGGCGCAAAACAAGCGTATTCATTGAGAGTTTATACTTCACTTAGACGATCGCACAATCTATACGTATCTAGTCCATATTCAGACTCCAAACTGAAGTTCAAAGTATTTCCCGACCGTTACTCTTGTCATGTGAGCGCCGAACCTAGAAACTACTCTTATTACGCGACATGTGCCGCAAGTCAATCTGCAGTAGACCTTCATCCATTTCCCGTATTACTTGCATTACTCGACACCACTGAAATGAGTGTATTTTACTATTGCAGCTTCCTCCAACAACAACCAGGGCCCCCGTGACCGCCCGCTGGGATTTTCCAACGAAATGGTTTTGTTAGAGAATTTGATAAGATAAGATTTTTGGTTGCGGATGGGGTCCTTGACGAGTTTGAAAGAAAACGAGGCTTTTTTTGAGATCGAGTCGTGATACATTTACAATTCAAGAGCTGTCCAACATATAATCAACCCCCCCCCCGCCTCTGACATCACTTTTGGAGGAGATTTTTTTGGGGGGGGGGGAGCCAAGCTATAGTGCGCCAAGTAATGACAAGCCCGACGATAATATTGACTCCACGCTGAGGGACCCAATGAGGTGAAAATTTTGAGATTGGCACAACGGTGACGGTTAACCCCCAGGTGCTTTACAATATCATGAATAGAATTTAACACATGTTGACCTCATTTTGTTCCAGCCGTATTTTTGATGCGTCAATTTCATGACCACTGTGATGAAGGCAGGCTTCAATCTTTAGCTCAGAGACGGTCGGATTCTGCTTCATCTGTAAAAAAGGGTTATTGAGATATCATATGAAAAACAACTTCTCAATGACGCTACTTAGATGTTTGAAACATTATTTAACACATTCACGCCGATGGCCGCCCATATGGGCTGCCAACAACATGCGCTCCTGGGACGATGGCAGCCCATATGGGCTGCCAACTGATAATCGCTTGCCAGGCGCTAGGAATGGACAGATAGGTGGGCAAACCTCGTAATCGAGTGTAAAATGCTTTTAAATTCCTTCACGGGGAAAGTGAATAAATGCTCTCTTTTCGTAACCACTATTTGTCGTTCTGATCGAAATCCTACTGTTATATGTTTAGATAATCTTTACGCATTGGACATTGCAGAAATTATTTTGTGACATTCATGTTTTTGTTTATTAACAAAATCTGCGGTTATGTGGTGAGGCGGGCGCCCACAAAATCGCGTCCGTCCCACGCGACCGAAAAGTGGAAAAGGGGCGTCGTCGTGAATGTGTATGTGTTTCAGATATTTTCAGTCCCTTGCGATTTGGTCTAACAGTTATTAAAATATTACACCGATAAATATGTAGGTTCATGAATGAAATACCAGCTTGTGATTGAACTACTGGCTCACTCGCACTTCAAAATCACTGCATGTCAAAGGTAGTATGCAATTTTAAGTCCGCACACACAGATATTACCTTCAAGTAAGCCATGCAATTTTTCCCGCATTTTATGGATGGACGCGTTGGCCTCCGGAACTTCTTGTTGGGACGCTCTTTTTGCTCTCCACTTCGTGAACACGTAAGGTAGTGTACCTGCAAATAACGCGCTTTCAAAATACTAGAGTGTATTATATTCGGGAAAAATGTCGGAAATAAGGTGAGCTGAGGACCAGAAGAAATGAGAAAGGAAGAGCCGAGTAAGAAGAAAAAAGTGATACGGTGCACTAAGGAAAGGTCCCATGAAGGTAAGGAAAGCTAGCGACATGTAAATTGACAAAATGCAATATACAGGAATCAACACGATTTAAAAGATGCAAGTCAAATAACTCTTAATGCAGGAGAACAGCGAAAATTACAACCTGGAGGCCTTGACCCCACTTCTTGGATCCAGACGAAACGACGAACTCGATGGCATGAGTCTCACGGAGTTGCTCCAACCATATCTGAGAGAAAAAATGGAACTGAAATAGTATTATACACTCCCATAGGGCGCACGCATAGTCGGTCGGACGACAGCAACGATCGTAACTGTCGCACAGCATTGGATGCGTATCGATCGTCGGACTTGCCTTAGTATTCGACGATTAGATGCAGTTAGACAGTCAGACAGTTGCGATCGTTGCTGCTCGGAACGAGACAGTACAGTTGCGATCATTGCTGTCGGACGACCGACTATGCGTGCGCCATACGTAGCTTATGGATAGCCACTACAATTGGAAAACCATACCTGAAGCTTTTCGCGATCTGAAAACGTTTTATGAATCAGCGGCGCAACAATTCCATGAACCTGTGTCATATGCCGCAACAATAACGGCCGCGAATAGGCCATTTCATCACATTCACTGCATTTTACCTGAAAAATGATCACACTTATAGTTTATGGCTTATTATGGCGCACTTGATAATTAAGATGTGATTCGAAACGTATAATTTTTTGACTCGTCATTTAGCCTCAAAACAATCCTATTATACAGTGAATCACCAATTCTGCCATTTTGTTGTTGCAAAAGAAATCGAGCGCGACGTTCGCTGTTTCTTCGCAAACCACCTTATTATGACACCCGCAGCAAACATTCCGCGTAAAGCCATACAAGAAACATAGACGCCTGCTTACTCCTACACGAATTGTAGTCTGCAATAGCAAAAAAACTGGTTGATGAAGCCCAAATAAGAAACACTGGACGCTAGTTGACCGGCCACTGAAGAAGAAGAAAAGAGACTGCTGAAACGTCTTGAATAAAAGACGAAACAGCAGAACTGCAACGGAAGCTGCATGGTTACTTGAGGTGCCTATGGATGCTAGTCCTAAACCGTAGCGGTCCTACTGTTCTGGCGTGAATCGCAAAACTCATCTTATCTTCACAAGGCACTCACAACAACGCGAAAGGATTCAGCTGAGTGGTTCAATCATAAATGTGCCTTTAGGCCCACATATGTTTGCAGGACTTATTAATAGAATAGGAAATATTTGGAATACATTCACGTACCCCTTTCGGCTTTGTAGACCGACGTACTGTCTGACCGCCACATGCCCGAAGTCCTCCATTGCCGACAACATTTCGGCTGTGAGTGATCATCATGTGCCGCCGTAAGGAAGCTTGTGTTGGTCCGTGCCAAAAGCATGTTATCTCCGAGCAGCTAAAAAAGAACAATTACAACACCAAGTATTCTTGCACAGAATAGATATTCAATTTTCCACGTACTAGAAGCTCTTCTTGTCCATGGAATCTAGATAATAGCCGTCTTCGTTGATGTCTGACTCTACTAGACACACTGGATTCCCGCCTGGAATACGAGAAATAACTTGCGTCAAACTGCATACCACTCTCATACAAATTTCATATTCATCGCAGAACATCTCCACCCATTGACATGCTCGGAGGGACGGTAGGAATCAACATCCTCCTAGCCGGTAAGGCATTCTGTGGTGGCCTACTTTCTCTGCAACGCAAGCGATACAAAAACAGAGTCTAACCAAGGGAAACAGAACCAGATAAGACATCAAATCAAGAACGCTTACTTACATATCATTTTTTGCGGTATTCGAAGCAGATATCGTCCGCCCTGTTGCGTTGCGTTGATAGGGAGACGAACAATTCCACTTGAACATGCCGCTCTGGATGTAGATGTTTCCTCAACCTAAAAACAAACAATGAAAGAGGGAAATATTTCTAATGAAACCAGCCCATTGATACATACCAGTCTTGGGAATGGCATATCAATATCCGCCACGGTCTGACAGTGAGTTGCTGGAGGCGTTCTCAATGGTGCACGAGAAGTACCTGAGTTTTTGTCTCGATACGTCACGATTTGTCTCTAGAATATGGTCTGATGAACATCGTTTTATCTTCTTCCTACGTTTCAATTTTTGTTTTTAACTTTGCGAAATATTCATTATTCAAGTGAAATCGCAAGCACGTAGTTCACTGCTATGACGTCGTAGTTTTTTCTCACCAATTCCCGCTCGAAAAAAAAGAGTACAGAGAAAGAGCTGCACTAGCGCAATCACACGTGGTAGCGGACTTGGTTCACTAGGAAAGAATGCGACTTTCCTCCCATCGGTTCTCGAGATGTCTCCCCGACTGCTTATCAATCACGGGGATATCTCCCCGATGGCATGTCATTTGGTGAGGTATTTCCGAGGACCGGTAGGCGCGGTCTTTCCCGTGAACGTTCGGGGGAGTATATCTTACCAGGATGGGATCCCTTTCCTGTTCGGGGGAGCACAACTTACGACCCCAGATGTGGACCTAAGATTCCCGCAATTTGTCCTAGGGAACCACACTACTGTGGTATACATTTAAAAAAACGCTGCGATACGTAAAGTGTTATTTTCACGAATGTTCGGATGAGCACAATCGAGTTAATCTCCCCCATTTTACTAGCGAATGTGTTTGAAATGCCTTAAAACACAAATATAAACTCCATGTTCGGTTTTCCTGGAACCTGGGCATTTTGAATATTGTGCTGTTTTCTTCTGTGCCAAACAGGTTGTTACGGTGGAACACGTTTATTGGTCAACGTTTCGACAAATCGTCGTCTTCAGGACCTGAAACTGGTTCGAAGTCCTAGCTCTGTAGCTCACCCGGTAAAGCGCCTAATCTTGCTGAGTTCTAACGCAAAATAATACAAAATAGACGATACCCAGCGAACGAACTAACCTGTTGTGGATCCACCAGTTTCTAGCAGCCTCCTCGTGTCAGTGAGCGAATAAAATGAGACACTATTGGACAGTCAGCGTCCTACGTGTCGTATGTGGTGATCTTATAGTCCACATAAAGGAATGAAAGGCAAGATGCGCTTTCATGAGCTAGAATTTTGCATTTTATTTCAAAATCACTACCCTGATGTTCTTCTGCTCGGTGCTTGCCAAGAGGAGTAAGAAGATTTCCGCGCCTTTTTCCAGCCATATGTTCTTTAACACGTACGCCCAACATCCTGCCCGTCTCTCCAATATAAAGTCCGTCACAGGTTGAACATTGAAGTTGGTATACTATCCCTCGTTTCGCACAGTCTCCTTGCCTTCCATATTACTTCAACACAATTTGAAATGGATGAATTATTCAGCATCCTCAATCAACAATCACAATACATAAAGTTCACAAGAGAAGCTCCACACAATGGTTGGCTACCTTACTTGAACACACAGATAAAAATCTCGAATGGTACGTATAGTGTGAAGTGGTACCGAAAAAGCAGCTCAAAGAACATCCTACTCCATGCAAAGTCTGCACACCCCAAGCTGTAAAATGTGCGGTTGTTCGAAACATGTACAGAACAGCGATTGGAGTCTGCACAGGCGACGTGGAGCGAGATGAGTCACGTAGGCTAGCTTCCGAGATCGCAAGAGCGAATGGCTATGGAACGAGGAACGAAGAATCAGGCTCACAGAGAAATCCCGCGAGAAATCGCGAAGGTTCACGAGGGCGTTCCGCGAGAAGTCGCGAGGAGTCACGAGGGCGTTCCGCGAGGAGTCGCGAAGAGATGGCGCACCTCCAGTTGCCTTTCATATCGGATAGAATTAGCATGGCTATTCGACAGTGCATTGCACGAGCGGACCTAGCTGATGACGTAGTTTTGATTAATATACCAGGAGACAATATCAAACGTCAGCTAATCCGCAATAGACTCTATGACCGCGCGTGCACACGGATAACTGCGTTGTTTGCCCATATGGAAGGCAAGGAGACTGTGCGAAACGAGGGATAGTATACCAACTTCAATGTTCAACCTGTGACGAACTTTATATTGGAGAGACGGGCAGGATGTTAGGCGTACGTGTTAAAGAACATATGGCTGGAAAAAGGCGCGGAAATCTTCTTACTCCTCTTGGCAAGCACCGAGCAGAAGAACATCAGGGTAAGTGATTTTGAAATAAAATGCAAAATTCTAGCTCATGAAAGCGACATCGGTGCTAGAAAAATGTTAGAGGCGCTATATATCCGCGTTAAAAATCCGAGACTGAACAACCGAATGAATGCATGGCCATTACCAATGAATTCTTGCCTTTCATTCCTTTATGTGGACTATAAGATCACCACATACGACACGTAGGACGCTGACTGTCCAATAGTGTCTCATTTTATTCGCTCACTGACACGAGGAGGCTGCTAGAAACTGGTGGATCCACAACAGGTTAGTTCGTTCGCTGGTATCGTCTATTTTGTATTATTTTGCGTTAGAACTCAGCAAGATTAGGCGCTTTACCGGGTGAGCTACAGAGCTAGGACTTCGAACCAGTTTCAGGTCCTGAAGACGACGATTTGTCGAAACGTTGACCAATAAACGTGTTCCACCGTAACAACCTGTTTGGCACAGAAGAAAACAACACAAATCAAACAATCTGATTTACGTTAGTTATTGACGATTACTGGCGGCCACGACTGGTACGGGTGGTTACTGTGGATTTCGATCATGTCAAGTTTCGTATAATGTATGCTATACGAAGTTATTACGTCGTCGCCACGCACGTTGGCCGTCTGGCAGTGAAAGCGGGCAAGTATTACCAATGCACAATTTCTCGGCAAAAAGTAGAGAGCTCTAGATGAGTTCGGCAGGTTTTGCGAAACGAATTTGGTAGACAACTTTGCAATTTTGTTAGGAAACTCGTCAGCTCCAATTCAAACTCGAAGAAAGTCATCCATTAAAAAGTCACATCGAAATTGAATAAAATAACATACTGTGAACGGCGAGAATTTATTGGTGACGTAGGTTGTTCGCATCGAAGTCAATCCTGGAGTGTCTGCTCCGTACCTGAGTGAAGGCTCATCGCTACCAGTTTCCCGAAGTGTGGAGGTTCTACGAGGCAACATGCTCGCAATCCTTAAAAGGATACTCCTCAACAGAAACGAAAGTCGACGAAAGGTATACATCCGACGAAGGTGATAGCACGGAAACACGTATTGCCAAATGCGAGAAAAGGATTTTAAGATGCTTTTTGATTCTTTTCAGTTTTTTTTCACTAAATAAACGCCTGAGGCCCTAATTTGATGGCCTTATTCACTCAAGCATTTTCTGAGTTCAGCAAAGCAATTAAAAGAAGAATAACGCACATTTTCATCCATCATCAAACCCTGTAATAACTTCAGCTAATCACTCAAAAAGGTGTCGGGGAAACACTTCCGCCATTTCCAAAGTTATAACACATTATTCGCAATATACGCATTGAAAAACGGGCCATAAACTTTGCGCGAAGTCGAAATCGATTTCACTGGCAGTGGTCCAGCTGTTGGAGCTCCCGAAAGTCCCCGAGCGCGGCGCCGCGACAACTTTTGCGGCATTAGCAACATCGTGCAAGCACGCACACCAGAGCAGGAGCAGGACTATTCTCGCCGACAAACTTACACGTTGTTTCATCTTTTAATACGGCGAAGAAGAACAATTAACAAGTCTCAGCTAGAATGGGCAACTCGCTTGCGAAAGAATGAACTTTGTGAAAATAAGCTCCAGAGTAACTTTGGCGCTCCAGTCGTGTCTCAATGGAGCGCGTAATCTCTAGGTAGGTAACACGGCCCATGGCCAATCCTTTTCTTGCTTTGATACTTTTCCTGCTTTATTAGAGTAGTTGTTTAGTTGCCCTGAGCCTTTTCGTGGTCCAGGTGTGGTCCGGGAGCATCGTGGTACAGTGTGCACCCGAGGCATTGGGAAACGTGGCGAACAGTTCCATGTGCGTATTCATTTATTTCCTTTTCTTGCACCAGCAGAATGTTTACCATCTGCAAAAAAAAAACGGATTAGTGATGCTGGTCGAGGCGAAGTGCTGCATTGCATCACGATTCCTCCCATCCCTCCCCTACTACCCTGCCCTCCTTGCATTGGGTGGTGCGGAAACATCTCAATTCACTTGTGATCCTGAGCTCCAAGTGTGTCATCATGGGGTGGAAATTCGAGTAATCTAGCAGCTATGGAGGGGATAAGGTGGAGATTATTTGCATATTTCCTCTTTTTTCATGCTTAAGATGATTTGAAGTGAAGCTTAAGAAGCGGACAGGTCACGCAGGTCCCGAAAGAAGAATGTGGGGAGGATGGATGCAGCCATACGAATGATAGAGCTGATAGAGTCCATGTTCGCCATGACAAAATTTCGCAACCTTCAGTGTGGCTTATGTTGCCGGATTTGTCCGTTAGAAAAATAACCGAAGTAAGCGATTATTCTTTTAAGGTCACTGCTTCCTCGGATGGGCAGTCAAATGCATGGCGCGTTCCAACCTGGCGTGACCATAATTCAGTCTTTTCTTGGGCCGATTTCAGACTTTCGCAAATCGCGCAATTCGCTAGTGTCCGCGGTCGCGTCGCGGCCAGCGAATCGCACTATTGGCTGGTACCACAGCACGACCACGGACGCTAGTGAATCGCTCGATTCTGGCGATCGAAAGTCTGACATTGGCAGTACGGGTTCAATGAAGCAGCAAAGAACAGACTATTTTGAAGTGGAATTGCGTTACGATTTGATCAAGTGTTGAATGTAAAAACAGCAATTGAATGAGTACAGCAATTAGTCTGTATTTCAGGATGTCTGCCGGCGGATCGCAACCGGCAAAAAAGAAGCGAAAGACCATAGTAGTTGATCTGGAAGAAGAAAGCGACGATACCCCATACACAATTCATTTGAAAAGAAACGTTTCCTCCTCTCAGCGTAGCTATGAAGAGCTCAACCCGAAAGACAATCCTGACGCCTTTTATAGCCAAACGCAGCATCCCAAGTTTCATACACGCGTATTGGAGAGAGCCGTACAAAAGCAAAGTGAGTCGTTTCGAATTTCTATAGTGGGTGAAATCAGTTTTTGTAGAACGATTGAATATTGCACAGGAGTGTTACGGTGGTGACCGTTCAATGTTCACCTTATACAGGAGCTTGGTCCAAAACGCGTTACCTGAAGGTCCATGATCTTTTTTTCGTCGCTTCAGCGCCGAAGAAGCTAGAGGATCTAGCGATCAATCCCAAGCAGCTGAACAAGGTGAATTCAACTGTAAAAACGATTGTTCTATTGATCTACTTTAACTTTTGTCAGCTGAAAACATTATTGTCGCAAGAGGAGGGCTATGGTCGGACGCTACTGGTTACTGGTCCTGCTGGCTGTGGTTCGTTCCTTCCCATTTCGCTCTCAAATGGGTGAATATTACATTATGTCGTCACTTTTATAGGAAAATCTACTTCCGTTGACGTTGTTGCAAAATCATTGAAAGTGGAAGTTCTCAAATGGGAACGTTCTGGTAATTTAGAGGTTGTTAGCTACGGAGGAGATAGCTATCTTAAAGAGGTGAGTGCTCCGCGTCTAGCCACTCTCTAAAACACGGCCTTAAACCGAGTGTTTTAGGAAAGCGAGCTGAACTCCTTGTTAACGTTTTTACGTTCAAGCACTATTCCAACTAAAAACAAAGGTCGCAAATCAGAGAAGCCCAGAAGAAGGTTGTATCACATTGACGACCTGCCCACACTGGCATACCAGTAAGCTTTGAGGAATTGTCTCCCTCGCTTTGAAGTGTTGGTGCGATTTTCCTCACATGTAATGTGATGTTTTTGAGGGATGTGGCTGAATTCAGACGGCTCATTTATCCATTTCTACAGAATACCAGACATATTGTTGTATTTGATTTGACTACGCGAGATTCTTCTTGGCATATGTCTCCAAAACGGGTATTTTCTACACAGTTTATAAATGTAAGTTCTAGTTTTCAGGAAGAATTCCCTCTTGATCTTATCTTTGAAGTTTCACAGTGATTTTTATTGATGTAGTATTCAGAGTCTTAACATTTGCGAGCTGAGCTTTTATCCTATTGCGAATACTTTCATGCGGAAAGGATTGAGAAGGGCAGTAGACGTTTTAGGATTCCATTCTAGAGTCAGTATGTTTTATTCCTTATCGTTTTGTACACCTGTCTTGCAGTTTAGCAGGCTTGCAACCTTCTGTTTTTGTACTTTCGGAATTCTCTTAGTTGTCCTGACCTGTCTATTTCAAACGTCTGCTATCAGCTCACAGAAGTTTCTAGTATAGTTTCTGTCAAGGAGAGGGAGCGGCGAGGCTCACGGTCTCACATTCTGCGTCAATCCGTCCAGCCAAACTTAGCGTTCTATCTAGGGAGATCTTTAATAGATACCAGACTGTCTGGGAGGATAAGTAACACTGGGTCTACTCATCGGCTACCCCGTGAGTCATTGTAGTCATACGTCACAATTGCGCATTCAAGTGCACTTCGTTGAGAGGAACTGGCGCCATCCTGAAATGAATTGGTCCATCTCGGATGCTCCAATCTTCTTCCTTTCATATCGCAAGCCACTGATACGGTAGATTTTCTGGACCCTTCCCTTAACTTTTCGTTTCAGCTGTCTATCCAGGATTATCGCGCAATCGAAAAAATCGCTAATGGTGGGTGACTTGTGCTTCTGTTCTCTTGTGTTGGTTTATCCTTTCAATACCACTGTTATATTCAGGTGATATTCGTTCTGCCATCAATGTTATCCAGTTTTCGCTCTTATCCAGTCGTGAGAAATTTTCCGTACCCGATTTTTTTGAAGCTTCATCTAATGATGAGGTACGGCTGCCCTGAAGTGCGGTAGCTTTGATTTGCTATTATCATAAAAGATCTACAGTTTAGTTATTCCACATGCTTGGTTCATTACTGTATGCAAAACGACAAAGCGAAACAGATTATCCCGACGTAGAGTTAAATGTACGAGAAGATTTACGTCGACCTTCTCCTACCAGAGAAATAAACGATGTCCTTTCAATGTCAAGAGCCTCTGCAGAAACTGTGAGTGGCATAAGTAATCTTCAGCGTAGAACAGATTTCTACATTCTTCATTCTATGTAAAATGGAGTTATCCCTGAGCCTCATTTGTTGAATATATTCTCTTTAGCAAATCTTTGTTTGCTTCGCAAAGATTTACTAAAGAGAATATATTCTTCATTCTGTAAAGTGAGGAGATTTATTCGTACCACTGTTTCCAGGTTATGATGTTTTTGCATGAGCATGAGCCGAATTTTTCGGGTTCAATAGCCTCCACGCGGAAGGTTCTCGATGCCATGTCAGTGAGTGACGCTATGTCAGAAATGTGGGAATCACGTCACATCAGTCAAGAGTACTCCTCCCAGGTATTGGCTTTACAATGTGCTCTTAGTCATGTCCTTCTGAATTATGCGCTCCATCGAATTGATTGGGCAAAGCTATGTTCTTTTAGATATGTGCACGTGCCACAGCGCCTTCTACAACTTTCAAGGGCGAATAGGTAAGCGAGCTCTTCACTTTCAAACTCTGTTGGATTTGATCATTTGAAGTTCTGTTTAAGGGAATAGCTCGCGGTTTTTATGCGTATAACCGTCCAAAATGGTGTCCTCTAGCTGATAGGACAACACAATTGAAACGTGAAATAAACGAAGAATTTCGCTTTTCTTTCGGATCGTCTGAGCAACATTGCGCCGACATGTTAGTGATTTTTTACCACTTATTCACTTCCTTTCCACTCCAATTGTACGATTAGCAGTCACGACTACTTTAGAAGAAACTTCACATAAATTTTGAGTGCGCGATATCCTGCGCCATGGTAAGGTGTGGCCATACATGCGGCTGCGCCTTGGCAATATCGTTTTGCCACTTGGAGTGCTGGAGTATACAGGTAATCCGGTCGCACGAATCGATGCGTATTTGTTATCCAACGTGGATTTCAGGACGGTTTCGCAAGTGATCCCACTCTAACGCGAATGGTCGGCGCGCCAATAGGGAGCTGAACGTCGCGCCCTCGACACGGCTCAATCGTCGCAAGTTTTTTATTTCTTTCTATTATCACTTGTTTTTATAGTGAGTGCGGCTTTCTTTCCCTAAACTGAACTCATATATGCGTCGCAATTGCAAGATACATTGGAAATGTTCGCTCTTAGGCCTGTGTCCGACTTCGCTAGCAAATCCACGGCTTCCTAAAGTCTGACACAGCTCCCCGTTCCTTTGTGAGGGCTCTTTTTTCAGTTGCGTTCCCTATCTCTCCATGATCAAGCCGCCAACGTTGACGAGTGACCAATATCGTCTAATGAGCTACCTCACGAGGCCATGGAATTTTTCTTGGAGTACAGAACGAGAGTTATGGAACCATCGGATGGCTGCCGATCCGGCATACCAAACGGCTCTGTCCAGGTATTGTCCAAGCATTCTTGTTTGAGATCACAATTTTCTAAGGTTATTCTCTCGAGTTGTGCTTTTTGTTTTACAGGGACAACTCTTTCAAAAATTCGTTATCAAGTCCTTTCCTCGAGGAAGATGATTCGGATGAAGAGGTTTTCGTGATAGAAGATTCTGAAGAAGAAGTTCAAAGTGATGATAGTTTCGATGAACCTGTCACATTCCATTAGGAAAAGTATATAGTTCAGCCTGATCTCATTGCCCAACGTTGCATTGCTCAATTTTTCTTAGGTAAGTTGTAATTCTGGTTGCAGCTGTTATGAATTGCACTGCCCTTTACCTCCATATTGCACTAGACTTTTTCTTCCTTCGGGTTCAGCAGTTTAGGTATGTCCATAGCTCTGCCGGTTATCTCTCATAGGATCTGTCATATTTATTCGGGTAATTTCAAAGTTTTTTATTTATAGCGTGTTTTATAATGATCATGCAATTTCCTCATATTGGAGAAATGATAAACTTATTCGGAACTTAGTGATGTTCGCACATGAAGCCCGTCTTCTCTTTTTGAAGTGAGAGATTCCCGATGGTCATCAGTATTGACTGTATTCGTCTTCTTCTTCACCTTCAGACGAATCGATTCCCACCTGTAAATGAGGAGTGTATTTTTATGTCCATGGTAATCATGTATTTGACACAGAACCTCTTCGTAGTCTTTTTCAAGAGCTGCCAAATCTTCTCGAGCCTCACTGAATTCTCCCTCTTCCATTCCTTCTCCGACATACCTGAAAATTGAATTTTTTTTGCCTGGTATTAGCACCTCTTATTTGTTTAATATTCACATACCAGTGCACAAAGGCTCTCTTCGCATACATCAGGTCAAATTTGTGATCGAGTCTTGCCCAAGCTTCAGCAATGGCGGTAGTGTTGGAAAGCATGCACACTGCTCTGTGCAGCTTGGCGAGATCGGCTCCTGGTACCACCGTTGGTGGCTGGTAGTTAATGCCAACCTATACGTTGGTTATTTTACTGCGGACATTTCCAAACTAAGACAGCTGAACACCCACTTTGAAACCAGTTGGTGACCAATCCACAAACTGAATTGTACGTTTTGTTTTCACAGCCGCTATGGCCGCATTCACATCCTTTGGTACCACGTCGCCGCGGAAAAGCAGACAGCAAGCCTAGGCAGACATTGATGAATAAGTGTTCAGATTCGCGGGGAGGCTTGATTTGAAGGTTAGCGAAGGAGTGGTGGAGGTTCAATATTACTATATAATGGGTCGGACTGCACGGAGTGGGCGGGTCCCGTCACAAATCTTGGTGTTATGGAGCAGTTCTTAGGAGTCAATGGTGGCGCAAAGCACTGCCAATTTTATCCCTTCTATATATAAAGCAGCTGTTTGGTGTGTCTGTCTGTTTGTTTGTTTGTTTGTTTGTTTGTTTGTTTGTAACCACTGAACTCACGTTACGTAGACCCAAGAAAACAACTTGGGCATGGTCCCGGATGGGTAGGACTTTGCCCCTGGGGTGTGTACGGTTCGTTAAAAATGGATACGGTAGTGGGCGGAGCCGCCCTTATGGGCGGGGCTGGATGGTGCTCATTCCAAACTCTGTAGAAAAAAAACGCTAAATTCTGCGTTTGTAAAATGCGATTAATTCAAGTATTACAGTATTGATTTGGGGGTGTGGTAAAGGCAGGAACTCCATCGGAATACATGCTATCGATCGATATCGATTGAAAATATCGGTTTTTGCGCACAGAGGGCTCGAATGAGGTTGGGAATCACAGTGTTGATTGGGGGGTGGTAAAAGTCGAAATTCTATCGGGTCACATGCTATCGATCGATATCGATTGAAAATATCGGTTTTTGCGCAGAGGGCTCGAATGAGGTTGGGAATCACGGTGTTGATTGGGGGCCGTGGTAAAAGTCGAAATTCTATCGGGTCACATGCTATCGATCGATATCGATTGAAAATATCGGTTTTTGCGCAGAGGGCTCGAATGAGGTTGGGAATCACAGTGTTGATTGAGGGCCGTGGTAAAAGTCGAAATTCTATCGGGTCACATGCTATCGATCGATATCGATTGAAAATATCGGTTTTTGCGCAGAGGGCTCGAATGAGGTTGGGAATCACAGTGTTGATTGGGGGCCGTGGTAAAAGTCGAAATTCTATCGGGTCACATGCTATCGATCGATATCGATTGAAAATATCGGTTTTTGCGCAGAGGTGCTCGAATAGGGTTGGGAACCACACTAATGATTGGGGGATGTAGTGATAATAAACACTCCTTTAGAGAACTTTAGAGAACGCTCCGCCCACAACGGGTTGGTTTCCCAGATTCAGCTTTTCGGCTCAGTTCAACCTTTGCACATTTTTCCGGTCATTTCACTGCACCTATTCCCAAACTCGAGACTTCAGCCACCGGCAGCTCCTAATGCGACGCATGCCCCGCCCACTGTGGGCGAGTTCCGCCCAATGTTTTTCCCAAAAAAAAAAAAAAAAGAATGGTTCCCCCCCCCCCCCTTTTTGGGCCCCGGCGTGTAGCCTGACTCATTCTCTATCCATCCCAAACTTGACCTGGACTCTGGAGGTGGTTCCTTAGATAGTACCTAATTCTTTCGAACAGAGACACAGAAGGCTTAGCGGTATCCCTTCTATATATAAAGCAGAAGTTTGGTGTGTTTGTCCGTCTGTCACCGCTAGGGGAGGCATATATCGCGGTTGAAGCGGGAATTTCTCTACTTCCCACCCTCAGCCCGTCACCCCAATTACATAGGAACAACTCCGTTTCCTCGCCTACTTCCTCAAATACGGCTCTTCCCGAATAGCTCAAATACCACTCCCTTAGTTGATAATAGCGCAACGCCCTTTAACCCTGCCACGAGAGTCCATCCTCTTCGGTCGTGTTTCGCGCGCGGTATCGTGCGCAGTTAAACTGGTCTTATAAATAATCCAACTAGTCAGGACCCACTTACCATGTACTTTCCTCGTCGAGGATCGCACTTCACCATTTGGGCTCCAGGCTCGAAACATTGCTGCGTGATGTCGCCGACCTATAAGATGTGTTGTTCACTTACTCGAAAACCTAATCTCTGCAACTTCTACCCAAAGGACTCAATACCTTCTAAAATTAGCTTACCAAATTCTACCGGCTGCTTGCCACACTAAACCCCGATTAACCATCCTTTTTGACCCTCTATTCCGCTACTCGTGATTTAAGCAATTTAACTGCTTATCATGCATAGCTTGTACCCGTGGTACGGTAATTCCAAATCGACCTTCCTTCAAGATACACCCACTTCCTTCATACCAATTTTCTCTACTTAAAGCGAGAGATTGCGATAGGATTCTGTTGTGCTCATAGTGGAAGTGAAGATGCTGAATAATGCCCTAGTAGCGAAAAAAGCAAAGAAATCCGTCAAAAACGCGCAAAATGGGACCACTTCCTCTGCCCGTTGACCTCCGATAATGGACGAGTTGGCAACCAACTAAGAGGTCGTCGGCACTCGTTAAACCATAGCTGCCATCATACCACCAGAGATCATACCTTGATTGATATAGCATTCCATGAGAAAAAAATTGGATACGCGCTCGAAGTGGCATACCTTATCAGAATGATAATCGAACAGCGATCTGCTGAGGGGCGGAGCACAGGCGGAGGCGGAGCTCAGAAAGGATTGGCAGCCCCAGGGCGCTGCAACGAGCGCACCTTTAGTCACAAAAAGGCCACATCTCGATTCCTTTGGGCTCTAGCTACTGCTTGAAGTGCTGCTCGTTCTTCCATGCTGCACAGAAATTTTATCGTAATTTCTCGCTTTAAACCTGTGGGCGGTTTCTACTATACCCTCAGAATGCACTCTACGGATGCCGTGCCTTTTTTAGATGTCAAATCATTTTTGTGATGTTCGGGGTCAATTACATGCAACATTTCCGAAGAATAACCGCTATTGAAAACTGCCTTAGTGGAAAGATAGGGCTAATGATATTATCAAATCATGGTAGCCAAGATAGCAATAAAATTAGGTGGGTTCTCATGAATATCAATAATTTGGCGAATCTTCAAATTTATTAATTGCAGTGGCAAAAGCAAGCTTCAAGACTGCAAATATATGTGGTTATTGAATAATGACTCCATTCTATAATAGATTGTTGCTGAATAAACCTTTTCAAAAATTCATCCAACAAACCGTCATCTGCTCATGGAATGCCTTTTCTGCAGAGATGATTGGTGCGTAGGTGGTCAGAGGGAAGTGAATGCGTGGATACGGTACGAGATTAGTCTGGAAAAAATTGATCTTGGGCTCTTTCACTTGGCTTATAAGTCACTCCATTGCTCACTTGAAATTCAGTCAAGTCGACATTCAAAGCGCCATCGAAACGTAACGAAGCTGTGACGGAGCTGATCACCTGAAGTTACAGCACATTGAATACACAGCTCTCCCTTCATCCAGCCTCCTGGGAACGCTAAACTTAATTTTATAATCCGATAATTTAGTACAAATCATTCTTGGAAGGCAAACGATGGTCCAGTCAAGGAACGCAGCTGTCGCTTCAGCACGTCTTGCGGAACGATCCCACGACAACAAAACCTCACCTGGGTCTGCCATGTGGCTCTAGGTGTGCCTGGGAAGCCAAAAACGGGTGCCCATGTCTTCATTCCCCTCCCCGTAGCTTGGCCCCAGGTACTGTAAGTAGCCCTCTCACTTGATTGTTCCCTCCATCCCACCCCCTCCCAACGACATGAGCTCCCAAAAACGTTCAGGGCCGTAAGCACGATAATTTCATGTTGATCAGAAATGAAAGCAGAGGGGTATTTTGACCACATCCTATTTATTCTCAAATTTTCGAGTGCCGTAACCGTCTTTCCGGCATTCTCGCCGCTTACGCAGGTTTTATGTCTGTTCCTTTATGGGCCACACTAAAAATAAATACCCGAAAGGAAATTCGTCCCGCGGCAAGAAGGCAGAGACGCAGAGGAACAGCGGACGAGTCCGAGTGCGTGCTGTAGCGATTTAGCATCAAGTCAAATAGAATGTACGATAGTACGTCCCACATTGCTCAGTTCACGCTGCGACTCGGGTACCCCCAGGAGGCCCGTCGCGCGGCAAGAAGGCAAAGTCAGCGGACGAGTCGCGCGCGTACTATAGGGATTTCGCGTCAAGTTAAATAGAGTGTCCCACTGCACGTCCTACATCGCACGTCCGCGACTCTGCCTTCTTGCCGCGCGACGGGCCTCCTGGGAGGTACCCTACGACTCGTGGGTTAATTCGTCTGCGTCTCTGCTTTCTCGCGGCACGACGGGCCTCCTGTCGGATACCTCAATTTACCTACCTGAGCGATGAGACGATTCAAATTTGTGTAGGTGGGACGAGCAAGATCCAAATTTCGTCTGCATATGTCATAAATGGCTTCGTTGTCCACCATGAAGGAACAGTCCGAATGCTCAAGAGTGGTATGAGTGGTGAGAATGGAATTATACGGTTCAACCATCGATGTGGAAACCTGGTAGAAGGATTAATAGAATACCACCAATCAAGAAATATTATTGGCTTCCAAGTCGCCCGGTTGAAAAAAAATCTACTTTGAACTGACCTGCGGTGCTGGGTAGATGCAGAATTCCAGCTTACTTTTCTTGCCGTAATCAACCGATAGCCGTTCCATAAGAAGTGATGTGAATCCTGAGCCTGTACCTCCCCCAAACGAATGGAATATGAGGAAACCCTAGAATTGTCGATTTTTTATTCTTGTGTACGGCAAAATCTGGACGTTTGTTCGCGGCTGGACTCCAAAGGGGTTTATAGTACAGGTCAACCTGAGCGGAAAGGGTAATATTATTGTGTCTGAACGGATAACAATAGCGGCTTGAAATTTGGCTGCATCAACCCTGCTGTCTTGTTTTTTTGCAGGTTTTTCACATTCAATCATCTACACCTGCTCATAATTGCCTGTATAAGGAGCTTGGATGGAACTTCTAACAAATCTGGGCACTATTTGCCTATGATGGCGGAAGTGGTGTAGTGACAAGTGGCGCGCTCACCACGCGAGCGGTTTCGGGGATCAAATCCTGGGTCGTAAGTCGCGCCGTGGCCAACCAAGCCTTCCATCCCTCCGGGGTCGGTTAATTGGTACCAGACTTGTCTGGGAGGATAAAAACACTGACTTGTACATCGGCTGGCCCCCGCAAGTCATTGTATAGGCCACATCGCATTCAAACGCCACTGCGAATGTACAAATGGAAGTAGAATGCGTGCCGCATCCCAAAAAGGGATTGATCAAGCAAATGCTTTATCCTTTTTTATTCTTTATTTTCTGCACTGAAC